GATATCACAATATCAGACGTATATCCGCCTAAAAATTAATTGTTAAGCAAAGCATTTATCTCCAACACACTGCCAAATTGAGAGCTCCCTTGAACACATATTAATTTCTACAGACTGATGATAATATCGTACAGACCATCTACAATTACGGATCTCAAATACCGCCTGTGGAGGTACGGAAGTGCTATTGTGCCAGACTCAACTCTGACGGTAATGAGGCAATTGGAGAAAGGAGTTAATTCAACCGGGCATCCACTACAAACTGAATTATTACAAGTACTACAGCCATTAAATCATTGAAACCACTGTTACGCCGACAGTCTCTATCATCACTGACTCTCTATCTCACTACTTGCTCCTTGAATGTAGGGTTGTCACGATCTGTCTCTGAAGCCAGACACAAATATATGCCCTGTTGACTAAAAACAGGGTCAAACTGTTGTGGATCCTCCTCGCCATAGGCTCATAAAACATGACAGAGTTGACGTTCTCGCCAAACCTGCGTCTAACAAAGACACCGTTGAATACAATTTGGTCTGTCAAAAAGAACTTAAACTGTAATAGAAAAAGAACTTATTGATGAGTTTGACGCAAGTGCAGACAAGTGCAAATATAGGCACTAGTCGATCCATAGTTTAATATGATGTGGGAGATGCATCAAGGAAACATGTATATGGGAGTAAGTATCAAGACCACTAGATTACAAGATGTTGCAAACTGCTAGATTAAGGTTAGGATATATGCACTTCGCAGCAGTATACAGACCTCAAGCAGATGTAAACAAAAATTAAATAAAGTGTGTGGCTACACATACAAGGCTGCCACACTGAACACCATCCTCAGAATGTGTGAAGATAGAACCCTTTAGGACAGGTCCATATCAGTGTGAAATGGCACAACACTTTATCTCTAATGGCAAGATAGCCGACATATTAAGATTGTATCCACTTTTGCATCAGAATTGCAGTACCAGTTCTCATGTATAGAACTAAATACGCAATGTGTGCTTGGAATACCTCCCACGTAATGGGGATGAATAAAAGTGAGGCCAGACATACTGCCTCACACGCCTGGAAATTTTACGCATTTGTGAATAAGTTACCTTTATGTATAGAATTCAAACAAATAATGTAACGAAATATTGTGTAACTTCAAACACAGTTATCCTGACAACTGGGGTTAATTTTATTATGACCTTGTAAATCTTTGCATTTGGGAATCTCTTGCGCCACGCTCACAGGACAGATAAGCATTAATAAAGCAGTTGCTGTAAGGGTAAAAAATCAAAATCAATCCTGGCTCACGGACAATTATATGTCAGTATTGCCACTAATATTGTTTTTATTATCATCATCATCATTATTATTATTATTATTATTATTGTTATTATTATTATTATTATTATTATTATTATTATTATTATTATTATTATTATTATTATTATTATTATTATTATTATTATTATTATTACTATTATTATTATTATTATTGTTATTTATATTATTATTATTATTAGTAGTAGTAGTAATAGTAGTAGTGTTAGTATTATTATTAGTAGTAATACAAAAAAATAATTACCCTGCATAGCGGAGTGGATAGAACGCTGACAACTTTTCAAGGCGTCGCTGGGTTACATTCTCTTAAACTTTTTTACTGCGTGTAGTTAACAGCTGACTCATGGGAACACCTAATACTCCAGCACTCCTCTTGTCCTCTTCACTCATCTCTCGTTAAATCACTTCTTCCTTCACATGTCTGTCATCCTCGTCTTTACCTTCATTAATGTGCTCGACGAAATGACTTAGAAACATACATAATTAGATTAGTTTATAAGAGTCAGAACCTGGGAATTACTATAGCTGTGATGTTCTTTGATGTTGTCGGTCAAAACCCTTCCTCCCATCCCCCGTAGAAACCAAGGCCAGTAACCCTTAGAAGCCATAGCCAGTAACCCTTAGAAACCATAGCCAGTAACCCTTAGAAAACATAGCCTGTAGCCCCTAGAAACCATAGCCTATAACCTCTAGAAACCATAACCTGTAACCCTTAGAAACCATAACCTGCAACCCTTAGAAACCATAGCCTGTAGCCCCTAGAAACCATAGCCTATAACCTCTAGAAACCATAACCTGTAACCCTTAGAAACCATAACCTGCAACCCTTAGAAACCATAACTGGTAGCCCCTTGAAACCATAGCCTGTAACCTCTAGAAACCATAACCTGTAACCCTTAGAAACTATAACCTGCAACCCTTAGAAACCATAACTGGTAGCCCCTTGAAACCATAGCCTGTAACCTCTAGAAACCATAACCTGTAACCCTTAGAAACTATAACCTGCAACCCTTAGAAACCATAGCCTGTAGCCCCTAGAAACCATAGCCTATAACCTCTAGAAACCATAACCTGTAACCCTTAGAAACCATAGCGCTATAACCTCTAGAAACCATAACCTGCAACCCTTAGAAACCATAGCCTGTAGCCCCTAGAAACCATAGCCTATAACCTCTAGAAACCATAACCTGCAACCCTTAGAAACCATAGCCTGTAGCCCCTAGAAACCATAGCCTATAACCTCTAGAAACCATAACCTGTAACCCTTAGAAACCATAGCCTATAACCTCTAGAAACCATAACCTGCAACCCTTAGAAACCATAGCCTGTAGCCCCTAGAAACCATAGCCTATAACCTCTAGAAACCATAAACTGTGTGTGTAAATTATATGACGGCAATTAACATATACTGCAGGTTTTATTTCAATTCAATTCGTCAAATTTCACAACTTTTTTATTTAATTTATATAGGTAATATAATTTAGTATTCTGTAGTACTGTACAAGTTTAATAAAAAGAGGCAGTCTTTATCTAACCTTATTTGCATAATTTATTCAACTGGTGACTAGGTTACGAAACACAATTTCAAAGTTTGGAGGTTAAATAGGTAATTAAATAGAGAGTATTAGTGTACAAATTAACAGGTTGACGATTTCCTAAGCCCCAAACACACCGGCCTGTCCTCGCGGCACCGCCTGATGAACGAGACATTTTCAGAATTGTTCGTGTCGGGGCGTCAACTTTACCGCCATATTCTAAACATGGACCTGAAATCGCCGTTTAATATGTTACTATGTTCTCTTTTGACTTTATACAGTAATCGATTTTTTTAACCCGATTATATTTAGTTACAAACACGAAATAAATGGGAGATAAATTTCCTTCTTGAGGGTGACCGTGTTAACGTGTCTTAGTCGTGATAGAGAATAAACGAAGAGTAATTTGAACAGTAATCTTGTGGTTCAGGCAGCTAGTTAAGTGAGATCTTACGAGAAAAATCTAACATCAGAACGAATGATAATCCTTAACCTTAGAACAACGAATCTTAATGAGGTTATTCGCTATTTACCTTGACGATGCTGTTATGATTCTTGTTAATAAGCACAGCTAGTGCACAGGATCAGGGCACAGAGGTTCTCAGGAGGATGTTTTTCATTAAGCATGTTTTGAATTATGTCAACAACCGGATTCCCTACTTCCTCCTCTTCCCTTCTCTTTCTTCCTCCTCCCTACGTCCTCTTCTTCCCCCTCCCTACTTCCTCCACTTTCTCCTCCCTACTTTCTCCACTTTTTCCTCCTCCTCCTACTGACGTGAGCAGTAAAGACCTCACGTCAACATAGACCTAAGCAGCTCGCAGGATTTACCAGTCGTTATCACCATCTATCTCTTACTCTCTCATCACCTCTTTTATGGCAAACACACTCAGCCTCAAACGCTTCCCTGTGCGGTTCGTTACGTGTATGTGTGTGTGTGTGTGTGTGTGTGTGTGTGTGTGTGTGTGTGTGTGTGTGTGTGTGTGTGTGTGTGTGTGTGTGTGTGATTTAATGTTATAAAAGGAAATATCATTGTGTCAAGTTGTTCTTTATGTTACCCAAAAAGACGAAATAAATTTACTATACGACTGAGCTGCTTCTGGCTGCTCAAGGGCTGTCATCTATAGCGTCTTGGGCCCAGATACACAAAGATTCTTTATATCAATTATGTTCCCTTAAACTGATGCCCGGTGAACGTATCTAGTTATGGATAATTATGATGTCACACTGGATGATATTCGTGTGTTTCAGCTTAAATTAGCCAGTATGGAGTCATATTATATCTTATATTATAGCGAAAATTCAACATAGGGATCTGTGAGACTGTAGAGGCTGGCTGGGTGGCCCGGCGCCTCCCTCCCACTACATCTTGACCAAAAAATATATCCGAGACCAAATTTAGTCAGATACCCCGGCAATAACTCCGCCTTTGTCGTCAGTCACTGTATTGTACAATGTCGCTGGCACGTGGAGAACACCAATTTGTATTCATAGATAAATGTGCCTGAACAATTTATACACAAATGTTATTCTGCATGTATGACACTACATCCAATTTACAAAAAACAAACAAACAAAAACAGATATCAAACAGCACTTCTGACAACGTTAAAACGAGGCAAATACAGGTCAGTCGACACAACTGCTGTGGATATTTCCTAGCACACAATAAACTCGACGAAGCTGAAGACTCTAAGACAGGGAGCAGCGGACCAGTTTACAGTGTGTCGTGTATGACAGTGAACGATGGTAAGTCTCTCTTGTGTTGAGAGAATTAACAAAGGACACATTCTCCTCTGTCAGGTGAGAACTGCAGATACTCTCTTTCCACGAGAACACAGAGAACTTTCCTCTCACCCGTCTGTCAGCGCAACCCAAAACTCTTGCTGTTTCTCCACTATAGCTGGTTGTCCCAGAGCCTTCCTGTCTACACGTCCTTGCACTGTCTTCTTAAGTGTTAGGTATACAGGACCTCCTTGCTTGTCCTAGTTTACCTGCTAGGCGCTTCAGAACCTGCTCTCCTGCCCCCTCCTCACCACCTACCTGCCAGACGCTTCAGAACCTGCAACCCGTACCTTACCTCCCACCTACTAGACGCTTCAGAACCTGCCTCCCCCCCACCTCACCACCCACCTGCTAGGTCTCGTCGTGGTTTTGATCGGTAACTTCCCCAATCTTCGCCGACTCCGTCTTAAGGAAGGGCGTCTTCGTCTGATGGTGGTTCTTTTTGGACCCTCCTTCTTCAGGAACATCCTTCCCGGGGCAGGAGTCGTCCCTGAGGGGCCTATGGACCAGCAGGGACACACTCTCCACCGTGGGATTTGTTCCTGTCACCCCGCCGCCCCCTGTGTTGCCTGACCGTCGCAATGGACACGACGTCTGTGGAAGGAGGTGGTGGAGGTATGTCAGTGGTTGTTGTTGTTATAATGTTATTACTGCACTTCAACAACGAAGGTCTTTAAGCGCATAACAAGGTTAGTAATACTCTAATCCAGTGGTGATTACTGATAGAGAGAGAGAGACTATATAATATACTTGTACATGAAAACTCTTGCCATACACACACAAATTTCCATCATTACAATTACATAAAGAAATACACATCAGTGAAACTCGATGAGTGGTGGGGGAGTGTGTGTGTTGGAAGGAAGTGTGGCGAGGAGGAAGTGTTGGAGAAGAGTGTTATGGGGGGAGTAGTGGGGAAGAGTGTTGTGGTGGGGAGAGTTTGGTGACAGAATGGTGTAGCAGGAACCAAGGTGTAGCAGAAAGGAGGTGTACTGGGAGGAAGTGTTCCAGAGGTGGCTACCCAGAGACAGAAAGACAGATAGACAAACAGATAGACAGAAAGTACCGACCTTCCTGAGTAATATAGGTATGGCCTGCGTCATCTCCTTGCGCAGGTTGGTGTTGAGCCAGCCGTAGAGGATAGGGTTAATGCACGCCGAGCTCATGGCGACAGCGTGGCACGACCCGAACACCACGTAGAAGTACTCCGGCTCCTGGAAGCCCGCGTAGTTGAAGTCTGCGAGGAGGTTGACGACGTGCCAAGGCAGCCAGCAGATGGCGAACGTTACGGCGATGGAGGTGAGGAGGATAGTGGTCCGCCTGTTGCGCTCGATCTCCCGCTGGGCTCTGCGGGCGTCGCGTTGAGACATCTTGTGACTGCTCAGGTAGTTCTGGATCCTCCCGTGTACGAAGCTCAGCACCAGGATGGGGATGATGTACTGCATGACGATGAGCGTGATGTTCCATGTGTACTTCACCACCGGCGACGACCACGACTCAACACACTTCTCGTACAGCAAGTAGTCCTTGATCTGCACCTTCTCTACGAAGTAGTACGCGAAAAGCGGGAGGGGAAACACTAGGGACACGAGCCATATAGCCGCCACTGACCAAGGTATGTACGCCCGGGCGTCTCTGTTTCTCTGGACGCAGACGATAGTTAAATAGCGATCGGCGGCAATGGCCACAATGGTCGCCGTCGACACTAGTATGTTGGTACACTGCACCACCGGCACTAACTTACAGATAAAGTTCCCTAAGCTCCAGTTCTTGTGCAGAAGTCCGACTAATGTGAATGGCATACACACTAGGCACATACTGACGTCAGACACCGCCAAGTTGATAATGTACACATTACGAGCTGTCCTCAGCTCAGGGCGATGGCCTATGACGAAGGCGACGATGAGGTTTCCCAGAATCCCGACAGTAATCAGTAAGGAATAGATTGTGATGAGGGAAACCTTAGCAGCTGTGCCCAGGTAGCTCTTCTGGTTGGTTTCCTTAAGGATCTTCATGATCTCCTCCCAAGGAAGACTCTGGTTGGCTCCAGTAGGTAGAACAGAGCTCTTAAAGAATGACTCCAGCTGGTTGGTGAAGGGGTTGTCCTCCTCCCCGATGGTTGTACCGGACATGACGTGACCCTCAAGAGCCTTGTACTCGTCAGGCTGGAGAGGACACATGACGCCCGAGCACAGTTCAGGCTCTGAGAAGAGGGAGATATTTTCCATGGTTATTTTTAAAGTGTCGACCCGGGATAGCTATAATGCCGATGATTAGGAAAGTCTGATGTCACACATGTTAACCATTTCCACCAGGTTCATCAATGACAACTAATGAAACAAGAAGACATACATGCGGCTTTGGAAATATGGAAGAAATGTCAAGAAGTTGGCCGCCCTATCTACAAGTGAGCCCCAAGAAACTATGCCCTGAGGACAGGAACCTCTCTAACATCACACAACAACACATGAAACGAAGTTCCTGTCCTAAGGTGAAGGGCATCAGAGGGACGTGGGCAAGTCTACCCTGCTAGCGGCAGTACGTGACCAGAGCACCATCGTTATCAAGCACCGAGTTCATACACTGGACTTGACCTCCTCAGGGATCAACAACACCATGGCTACTTTGTCCAGAGTTCTTCAGCTACGAGAACCAGTACACACTTGTTTCTTTGCCTCGGCTGCCCTGAAGGCTCGTGCACCTGAGTTAACTTGTCTAGGGTCCCTTTACACAGGACTAAACCCCCACAAGGCTCGGCCACCTGAATGACCTTGTGAAATGGTTTAGTCTTTCTCAACCTGCATCCTCCGCAGCCATCCATAACTAGCGTGTGAGTTTATGTCTCATCTTTGATTGTCCTCTCCCCGTTCCGCTTCTGTCCTCAGGTGTGTGACTAGCGTGGTCGGGGAAAAGGTGAGGGAGACTCAGGGGCTTCGAGTAGAGGGACTTTTCCTCCGTCAGCGCTTGCAGGTGACGCGCGGCCCACGACACTCAGCAACCTGAAACGATAAGTAATTATTACCTACGACGCTGTGAGGGAGACGAACACGTGTATATATGAGAGAGAGAGAGAGAGAGAGAGAGAGAGAGAGAGAGAGAGAGAGAGAGAGAGAGAGAGAGAGAGAGAGAGAGAGAGAGAGAGAGAGAGAGAGAGAGAGAGAGAGACAAAAGATACAGAGAATAGAAGAGCCAAAGCGTAAAAATAAAATAAGAAGGCGATTAAAAATAGCTTGTTTTAATACGGATAAACACAAGCATTACACGATTTTACTGAATATCTATCGATCTATTTATCTTACATCAAAGAATCTACACTGAGTAAATCCTACAACAGGTAACACTAACCCTTTTACCTTACCTTACCTTACCTTACCTTACCTTACTCATCCACAGGTATAAGGAACATATTCTCATCATATATAATTCTTCTCTCTAAGACCTACGAGAAGGTATACCGTTAATATACTCATTCTAAGAAAGTATGCAAAGAGAGTATATTCGCTCTACCCTTTGAGGACGATGATTCAAACCTCTAAGGACGATGATTTTACTCACTTGTCCTAAAAAAAGTTGAATACATTCCCCTTCCTTCATCCTTCTCTACAAACATTCTTGTACTGAACACACACACACACACACACACACACACACACACACACACACACACACACACACACACACACACACACACACACACACACACACACACACACACACCAGCCCTATTTCCCCTTATTTGCATACTGGCTGTAAATTACTCAGTCCCTGTCACTTCCACGATACCTGGATGGATAGAATTTACCTCCCAGGCCCTACCTTGCCGTGATATTGTTTACATTCATGTGAAATTAACTGGACGAATGTTGACTAAACATCTGTGGTTACTGAACGATTGTTGGCCACTTGTGATAAATATTATTAGACAAATATTTGAACCAACATCTAGCGATTTATGGCGTCACCTGGGGATAAAGGACGTCATTTGGAGATATATTGCGTCACTTGGTGATGTTTGACGTCATCTCGAGATATCTGAAGCCATGTAAGGCTATATAATACCTCTTGACGTCATCTGATGTTTTTTTCTTTTTTTTTTTAGGGAATCTAACAGAATCCAGCTATACCTACTGTCATGTGGCGGTGTGTGATGTAGTGTTAGAGTGTGGCGGTGTGTGTGTGTGTGTGTGGTGGGCTGGTCGTTTCTAACAACTCCTGGTGGTGTCTGAAGAACTACCTTTGATATGCAAATGACTGAGATAGGACGACAGCTCAGGGAGGATTGTTGACCCTCCTATCCCTTGACCTCTTGACCCCTCCTACGCCACTCCCCACACAGGTATAGTACACACACACACACACACACACACACACACACGACGTAAAAAATACCCACTTTGAATCTCGTATACCGTTGTCGCCAAGGGGTAGGCAGGATCTTTTTTCGTCTCATATTTTATGTTCTTTACTAACACGAGAGAGAGAGAGAGAGAGAGAGAGAGAGAGAGAGAGAGAGAGAGAGAGAGAGAGAGAGAGAGAGAGAGAGAGAGAGAGAGAGAGAGAGAGAGAGAGAGAGAGGTTCTACGCTTGGTGCTGGACCAGATGCCTGCTGCTGACCTAGGGGTCGATTACTGCCTTATCACAGGAGTCTCTCTCTTCTCTCTCTCTACCAAATAACGTCATTATCGCTTAAGTGGAGATTTTAGGAGTAGAGGAGAGGTGTGAATGTGTATAAACAGACGAAGTTAATGTGATGATATAATTAGTATATTCACGTTAATTATTGTTAAACGTGTGTGTGTGTGTGTGATAGAGAGAGAGAGAGAGAGAGAGAGAGAGAGAGAGAGAGAGAGAGAGAGAGAGAGATCACGTCAGTTGTCATCAAACGTGATATAGAGAAACTAGTGGTGGTGTTGGTGGTGCAGTGATGGTGATTGAGGGAGGCCCCGAGGTAGGCAGGTAATTAAAGAAAAGAGAAAAGATTATAAATAAGTCTATGGAAGAGAGGAGAGGAAAGTGTTGTGTTGGGTGGGTAGGACAGGGAAGCAACTGCTAGGTTTAGTGTCAAGATAAACACACACACACACACACGCACATCAACCTCTCCTCCGACGTTGTCCCACCCCCTTCCATTACTTTAGGTCCCAACACACTCCAGGTTGTAGATTCCACTAAAGGGAAACCACACGTCAGTGAAGTTGTCAAATCCTCCAGTTTCCGTCTCCACCTCCTCCGCCGACTCAAATCCCTCGGAATTCCTGCACCAGAGCTCCTCAGTGTTTACTCAACATTCATACTGCCCAAGATCACCTATGTCTCCCCTACCTGGTCTTCCTCCCTAAATGCCGCACAACGTAAACACCTAGAAAAAGTGCAAAAGAGGACATGCAAGATTATTCTCTCCCCTTCCTACTCCACATAACAAGAAGCGCTCAACACACTGACCCTCTCGACTCTCACTGACCATCACCACGACCTCATCTGCAAATTTGGTAAGAAGCTTCTGCACTATCCTCGACACCGGCTCCTACTTCCACCCGAGATCCCTCGTCCGAGAATTGCTGTTCGATACCACAACCGCATCCAGCCCATACGAACACGAACTGATCGCTATAAGAACAGCCCAGTCCCAATCATTGTAAAAATTATCAATAACTTGTAATCAACCAGTGAATTCACTCCCAGCCAATCTTACTTCGCGCTGTCACTATGTCGAAATGCCCTGTAGTTTGAGCTTCTCCCCACCTAGTTAATATATATCATATTTGTATCACTTATGTTACTTGTTTATTATTTGTAAATCAAGAGACCCATTCCCCAATTATGTAACTGTATATTTTCAGCCTTCTGGCTGCCATGCTCTTTCAATAAATCGTTAATTTATTATTATTTATTATTATTACACACACACACACACACACACACACACACACACACACACACAGGGTTTGTCATTATCAGGGTACGTACAGGTAGGTGACAATGTTGAGATGTTGCATTGTTCCGCCTTCTTTCACCTCATAACTAATGACTCCGCCGCCACAGGTAGGAAGGTGATGGTCGACCCGTGGGGCTCCTGGTGGCGGCTCACTGTACTCTGAGCCTGGGTGGTAATTACACTAATTGGAGCCACGGGATTAAGTTTCTAATGACAGCCTCACGAAGGAGAGTTATATATCCGAGAGTTGTAATCGTTTTATCATACCTTGATGCTAAACTTTGTGGAAATAGTAGTTTTCATTCATCAAGTTTCATATATTTTGGAATTTGGGGGCAAAGGAAAATACGAGAGAAAGGAAAAAAATAGGAGTAAGAGGATTTAAGTTAGGTTAGGTTAGCTTAGATTAAATGAAGTTAAGAGTAAATTAGATTACATTTGGCTAAGTTAATAGTAACCTTCCAACATTGTACGTCACTGCATCTCCTTCCCTTTAGCCTACCATTATAGAAAACCATTCAGGGGGGACTACATCATCGTCCACTTGACCCTCTTTCACGCGTCCCTAAATTTGCAATAACCGACACTCACTAAATTCATCAATATCGGTGAGGATCAAACACGTCAGACACAGATGCGGGATATACGTGTGTGTGTGTGTGTGTGTGTGTGTGTGTGTGTGTGTGTGTGTGTGTGTGTGTGTGTGTGTGTGTGTGTGTGTCCTTCAATGGATATAATATAATCCACATAAGAGCCATTTTTTCTATTAATCAGAGCAAAAATCTAGCGGCTGGCAGTGCATACGACTTAGTTCAATGGATGACTGACTGGAGGAAGGAGGAGTGTGTGGGTAAGGTAGCGGCGTCCCGTCTCCAGCCCCTGCGTGTACAATGCCAGCTTACAGTAACGACCTTAGCGGTACCTGACGATGAACCAACCAAGGCTGAGAATTATCGACGGGGATGAGGAAGGAATGGGAAACACGGGGACGGATCTTTTTATAATCTTTAGACGGGAAAGATTGGTGGAGGGAAACTTTAATCAGGAAACGTGTAGGCTTTGGTGTTTTGGAATCCCTATATATTTTTTTTTGGATAAAGTCTTAGGATTTATTTGTGTTTTTTTGGGGGGGAAGGAGAGGGAGGATACTATCTCTATAGCAACCAACACTAAACCACATGTTTTTTTTTATATATCCAATTTCCCGGAGTTCAAAATTGGGATGACACGGATTTATAGACCACACTCACACATACACAGAACAATAGCATCACAATAAACCTCGTCTCTCACCTAACCTCATATCATCATTATCCTCTTTAGAAGAAGGTAATTTAGTACCAACAACACGCGGTCATTGGTATGTGATGCTGCAGTAACTATGGGATAAGCCAAGAGATCATCCCCCAGTTAACACAAGTAAGGATAATGCTGTCGTCTGGAATCACTATAGACGTGTTGGTATATGTAAACAATGATAGACATGTTGGTATATGTAAACAATGATAGACATGTTAGTATATGTAAACAATGATAGACATGTTGGTATATGTAAACAATGATAGACATGTTGGTATATGTAAACAATGATAGACATGTTGGTATATGTAAACAATGATAGACATGTTGGTATATGTAAACAATGATAGACATGTTGGTATATGTAAACAATGATAGACGTGTTGGTATATGTAAACAATGATAGACATGTTGGTATATGTAAACAATGATAGACATGTTGGTATATGTAAACACTGATCTGCTTGACGCATCTCCCAGGTTAACTACAGTAATACATTCAAGAGACGCTGCTTGTGTTATCCTCACTCGAAATGGACACAACAATAACTAACACACAAAAAACAGCTTTAACTCAAATCTCCCTAAGAGGTTTTAAAGATAAAGGTGAGAATAAGTGTCTCTAAGGCCAGAGGACAGTCATTCTCTCACGTCATATAAGAACAAAGACGGTAACAGTAAGCGTGCCTCGTTCTCATTCTGGGAGGTGTTGGAATGTGCTCGTTCGTCACATCTTCGTATAAACCTGAGAGGAGATGTGTTGTTTCATGATGGTGAGTGTTTGGGTGATGGGCCAGGGTGGTGTGTGTCTTAGTATACGACTCACATGAAACACGAGTATAACGACCTGTGGTAAAGCTTCACTCAGTAACTTTGCGATGGTTGATGTGGACTATGAATTGGCTTGGTCAACAGATACAGCTATAGCATTCTAACTAGCTTCCCTCTCGTTTCTCTTCGTGTACTTGTTATTCTTCTCATCCCAGCCCTCTCATCCATTGCCTTCTATCCCTCTCCTCCCAGCCCTCTCATCCATTGCCTTCTATCCCTCTCCTCCCAGCCCTCTCATCCATCGCTCTGACACACAAAATGACGTGCGTGAAAAACCAAACAACATTAAACCTGACGACAGACCCAAGGAAGTTAATCTGGACTCCAGCAGGGTACACTAGGACCTTCCCTACAACCAAGAACGATATAGAAACCACAGGTAATCACAGAAACCATATATGACTGTAGAAACGACATACGAGCAGATAATCTAGGAACCTTCAGAAACCACCCGGTGAGCACAGAACTCTTACTGTACATTTTACATGAAACTGTGGAAACCAAACGAAACTTGAGAACTACGTGTGACTATAGAAACCAAATTTTCCCAGCGATACCATGATTTTTAACTTATATTTGCCTATAAAACTATAAGCGACTGGAATAAACACGACGGTCATATAAACTACACGTATCTATTAAAGCAGTTTAGATTCCAAAAATCAATAGAAATCGAAGACGACTGTAAAAACGAAAACCCACACATGATTAGAAACCACACGTGGCCGTAAAAGACCAGCACGACTGTAGAAACCGAACATATTCTATAGATCCATGGCTTGGGTCGCTCGAGGGGACTGAGCGCCTCTCCTAGCCAAGGGGCGTGATGATTAATTAAGTGCGGTGGGGCGGCAGGGTGGCAACAGAAGAGGAAGAGGGCGGCGGGGGGCAGGGTGGCAGCAGGAGGAGCGGAGGGGTGGTAGGGTGGCAGCAGAAGGAGCAGTTGGGGTGACAGGGTGGCAACACAACACCACCACAACCAGGGAAGGACGTCAGACTCGCCTCCAGCAGCTGGCCTGACGTGATGCTCCTGCGTAAGTAATGAGGAACAGCTGGTATGAGCATATCCACTAAGGCATTACGCACTAATGTATTGCCTATGTATGAAGACCTATAATTAATATTTCCACAACGTATGACGCATTATTGTTTTGCGTATTGCTATGAAAGGCTGAGATGACTCTTTCCATGGACGTGAAAGATTGTTTTTTACTAATCAAGCCCCTTCAGCGGCTTCATATGAATCTATACGACCCCCTGAGCAGACTGACCTCGTAACTGTAAAATTAAATGAAATCGAGCCTACAAAAAACAGACAGCCCGTTATCTCTCTGTGTTTGGTCTAAAATGCAGGAAATTGCTGTCCGAGAGCACCTGTTTTTTACCAGTAACCGGGTCATGAAGCTCTCTCTCTCTCATAACACAGACTGTCGCTCGCGGGTCATGAAGCTCTCTCTCTCTCATAGCACAGACTGTCGCTCGCGGGTCATGAAGCTCTCTCTCTCTCATAACACAGACTGTCGCTCGCATTTCTTATTTTATCCTCCAAACATTGTGAATGTGACTGAGGATGATGGCCGTCACTACACAAGCCTACCAATACATCTGGCTCTGTTTTTACTATGGTAGCGAGAATGTCCTGTTGTCCAATAAATCCACTATTGAGAGAAGGTGTTTGATACTATGACTGGTTGACATCCTGAGCCAAGCGAGGACTACAGTAGGGTGGAGGAGGCGGTGAAGTGCCCGTCTTAACGTTGTCAGTGTCCCAGTTATGAAGATGACAGGAACCATCACGGGTTCTGAGTCGTCCTGCAATCATAAAGGCATCTCAGGGAGTTCAAAGGTAACTTGAAGCACACACACACACACACACACACACACACACACACACACACACACACACACGCAAGACTTCTACAGCATCAGAGGAGCAGAACACCCTCCTGGACACGGGTCACTTATTCCTCCACCGCGACTTGTCCACCTGCAATACAATTCACGCCTATTGGAGTAGTGACCGTGATGAATATATTCCGATCATGAATTTCCATCGCCCCAGTGTTCTCCTCTACACCAGGGCAAGGCATCTCCAGCCTGCCTCGGCTTGTGCAGTTTCACGTCAATTCCTGCTGGAGATGACGAGAAGCACGTCACCCCTGGACTACTGACGTGACTCTGACCACAGCTGTGTATGTACTCATGCTACTCACCCACAATTTTACCCCTCCTCAATACCGCCAACCCCACCACCACCAGAAGCCTCTGGCTCTTCAAAAGCACAATCTCTGGTTACTGCACAAAAGAGAGTTGTACAGACAATGACCTACCTGAAAAAAAAACAGCACACAAACGAAAAATTTGCTATATTGAAAATGTTAAAATTCGAAAATATTAACACCTACTGCTGTGCCCTCTTTGTTTTCAAATCTATCAATCACTTGCTTGACAATAATTATTTCCAGTTCCGGAATAATCAGAGATACAACTTAAGGCACCCAGAGCTACTAAGACCACCCCCCATGCGCTCCTCTCAGTCCCAGACGTCCATAAAATATCATGGTGTGAAGGTGTGGAACAACTTACACCCACCCATCCCAGCAAAGACTACGCTCCCTTCCTTTAAATCATCTCTTAAAAAATATCTATTGTCTAAGTATTCATATTTCTTGTAATACCTACTACATTTACAGTACCTGCTTTTATTGTACCATCAAAACCATTTTATCGGAAATTATCATGTAAATAGATAAGTAATTACCATTGCAATAAACATAATTGCCAACTAGACATAATCCTGACAGCTCTGTCCTCTTGTTCAACCATATTACTGTACAACCCAGGCTGTACTGCTCCCCCATTATACTTATATTTTTCAATGCCACTGTAATGTATGAATATATAAATAAAAAAAAATAACCCCAAAAAATATTAAATAAATAAAATAAATAAATATTGAAGTGATAACCGTGGTAACATTATGAGATGTTCTTATCACCACCATGCTATTGTACTATTCCTGATGTTACTCAATGTTACATAATACTTCCTTGAGATAAATGTATAGTATATATCAGGTGCCTACAAGAGAGCTCAGGTTCTCAACTGGTTCAGCCATGTTCATATTGTTATTATTATCCACCCTGTATCTGTGTTTTTCTGGCTAAATAAACTGTTTCAATTCAATTCTGTTTCAATTCAACACACCAGCATCCCCAACACCGCCCCTCAACACCAACACCATCAACATCACCCCCACTTTCCCAGCACGTAACCACCACACCTTCAACACCGTCACCACCATCAGCATCTTACAAATGTCAAGTCAAAACAGACGATTGTGTTTGTGTCCCAGGGAAGATTGTGAGAGAGGTCGCCATGTTAACCTGACATCTATGGTCGATTTAATGTAATATTTGTGATAACCTCCAGAGAGACTCAGCAGACGTCCGTTATGATTCTATTGTCGAGAATTCACCTAAAATCTGGAGGTTAGGTTAGGTTAAGTGAGGGTCATGGGGTCATCTTTTAAATTAGGGGGCCACGAAAGATAGATAGATAGGTAAATAGATAGCTGGAAGGAAGAGAGAGAGAGAGAGAGAGAGAGAGAGAGAGAGAGAGAGAGAGAGAGAGAGAGAGAGAGAGAGAGAGAGAGAGAGAGAGAGACTTTTTAACACAGTTCTAGGGTCATTTATGTCATAAAAATCAGGTGATAACTCAGAGTCGCCATACCTGGACTAATCACCTCATATATAATATTCTTGTACCTGGGGAATGGTCTTAATTAACATGTAGATGAGTTAGGAGAGCGAGGGAGGGAGATGAGTCATTCGTGATATCGAGCACTTAAAAAAAAAACGAAGGAAATTAGACTCTGTATGAAGAAAGTTTTAGCTGTAAATCATCAGAGAGTTTTAGCTGTTAATCAAGAGAGTTTTTTAGTTTTTTAGCTGTGGGACAAGATTGCCGTAATGGTGCAAATTCGTTAGGGAGAGAGAGAGAGAGAGAGAGAGAGAGAGAGAGAGAGAGAGAGAGAGAGAGAGAGAGAGAGAGTGGGGGAGGGGGGTACTGCGGGAGGGATTGCGAAAGAGAAAGATAGATTGCATTAAAACTTTCCTTACCTATTAGGAGCTTCGACTCCCTTGTGAGTTAACGTCGTTCAGAGTACCTCCACTTTTATTATCATGTGTTCTTTGATGTGTTTTTCGTCTATCGCCCGCAGTTATTCCCGTCTACGTTGGCCATCTCTCTCTTTCTCTTTGTCTATTTGTCTGTCTGTCTGTCTGTCTCTTTCAGTCTCTCTCTCTCTATCTATCTCTATGTCTTTCTATCCCTGTCTCTCCCTCGTTTTGGACCAAGTAGGTAAAACCTTTACGACTCTATGTAATTATTCAGGTAAGTTTAATGACACCAACTTACCTCAAATGACTTTGCAGATAGATCCACAATAGTCAGGGCAGTGCTTGAGTGGGATGGTCTAGTTAGATCAGAGCAGCGCTTGAGTGGGATTGTCTTGTAAGATCAGGTTAGTGCTTGAGTGGGATGGTCTAGTTAGATTAGAGCAGCACTTGAGTGGGATTGTCTTGTAAGATCAGGTTAGTGCTTGAGTGGGTTGCGTGGGACAGTGCTTGAAGGATAGACTTTACTTAGTCAGATCATTGCTTGAGTGGGGTAGTCTAGTAAGGCCAGGTCAGTGCTTGAGTGGGTAAGTGTTCCTTGGCCGTATCTGGAATACCAAGAGAAACAAATTATTAGTAAAATTATATAAAAACAGATTAAAGGT